GGGCTTATCCCATAAAAAATAACAAATGTACTCCCACTCTGCCATCATCTGACTCTGACTACTACCTCCTAACTTAACTTCTTTTTCTTTTTCCGTCTCCTTGACCAAATATTAGTATTATATTGTTCTCACATAATTGAACTCAACGAAAGAATGTAACCTAAAATTGTATTGTGAACATGATTGAAAAAGAGTAACCTATGGAGTTTCTTGCTCGTTCTTCTCCATAGGAATCTACACTTTGGAACGAGCAAATAGCTTCACTAGAGAACTGACATTTATTCTTATTATATAATATTTAAATATTTTGTTTTGACGTTCAAAAGTGCCTTCCTGGTCTAATTGAAATAAATGATTTTGACTTTGACTTTATGATACATAATTGTTATCTTCCATCTTAAGGTACCATTGTCTTCGAAAACACTTTCTGAGACAATTAAAATCCTGTCTAAAAGTTGTGAAGTTAGACTAAACAAACAGGGTTGGTAGCCTTGGCGACAGGGCTTCCTCCCGGTTATCCGGTTACCGGAGGGCGGAGCGTCCACCGGAGATAGGGATGGGTGGACCAATCGAAGTGCTATGGAGTAATTCAATTTGGGCGAGAATGAAATAGTAGGTGTTGGTAGGATATAGTTTAAAATGTAGTCCTTTGGATCTTTAACGTATAATATTATGGGGAATTTCTTTGTTTGTATTTTACCTACATTTGTCTGTATTCCAAGTGGCTTTAAAGTAAAAAATAACACATAGGTAATAAGTTACTTTAAATTAACCAGATGTTTAGGTTAGTACCTGGAACTAAATGTCCGTCTAGGGCGCCCTCTACCGACGGCCCCATTCATATCCGTTCTGTATACTTCTTTCGTTACTCTAATTTCCTTGTTCCCTATTCTCTGCCTCCCCGTGGGAGACAGGCGTGAAGTTATGTATGTATGTATGTACTTATGTATGTACCTGGAACTGTGTGTTTATCTTTGGACGTATACGTCGATGTTTCTACATAAGTGGAGTTTAGCTAACGTTCTAAGGGCCGATTTTTCAAACATCAGTTATTATTAACTGTAGAATAAAATGGACATTAGTCAGTTTTTAGAATGGAAGAATTGACAAATATTCAAAGTTATTCCTTATTTAAAATTTATTTGACGCTGGAAAAATCGTCCCTAAGAGCAAGAGTTAAATTTCATCAGAGGAATAAGTAATATAATATCTGACAATTCTTCCATACTACAAACTATCAATTTTATTCTAAAGATAAGAATTAACTGTTGATTGAAAAATTGGCTTTTTACCATAGATTTCCGTGTACCGACATTTTGAACTTTATAATCATGAATTATGATTCAATTCTCAGCAGTTGCAACTGTACAATGCCTGCGTGCTACCAGTCCTAACCTATGGCTGCCAAACCTGGGCTCTCACTTATACCGTAGATTAATGTATCATTAGGAACGGGAAAGACTTCATAAACATATTGAACACCATAAACATGAATTATGATTCAATTCTCAGCAGTTGCACTTAAAACATTAAATTAACAAGTCAACATAATAACATCACGTCTTTTAATCCCCAAAGGAATAAACAGAAGCACCTACTTATCCTAAGTTGTAAATACATTTGTTATGTAGAAGAGCGATGGGATTGACATCGTCACAAAATGTGTACAAAAATCCCTTACAATAAATGAGATTAATTAAAAAAAAACCTACTTATCCAATGCAACACCCACTTTTCACCAGATAAACCAACAATTACATCATAACCCAATAACAGCCCCAAAAAACCAGCTCAATCTACCACACCATCGTTATCATAGTTGCTATAAGCTACCAGACCCCTTGAAATCTCATTATCTTCACCGGGCGCTTCGCAAATTACTGTAACCGATATCTAACCATTAGGGGTCGATCCTGTTTAATTTGTGCACCCACCGTAACAACCATGGTGAACTTAATAGAAAGAAAATTTAATTTTATGTGAAGGTGGTATGATGAAATTGTAGAGGTAGTTCGTGGCTTGTGTGTGGGATGTAATGGTAGGATTATTTGTAATTTAATTTTATATTTTTGTGGTTAGTTTTTATCTTTGCGACTTACTTATAAAGTCTTATTTATTTATTTAGAATTCTTGTAGGTATACAATGGCGGACTTAATGCCTAGTGGCATTTTCTAACAGTCAACCTTAGGGTGATGCAGAGAGACACAATAGTAGGTGTAAAAGTTTAACACTCATTACAACAACACGATAATTAACATTACAATATAATTTAACATTAACATTAAAATTAAAATTGCGGGTTACCGGGTCTCCGGCTCGAAGCGGAGGAGAAGGAACGGGGTGGTTTTTAGTCAGTAAGAGTCTGACACTCCCTCCCGCCTCACCCAGACGAGAACAGTCATTCGATGATTTTTCCCACTTAAAAAAAAACATTGTCTTTTTTTTTGGGGCAGAACAGAAGCGATAGAAGGCTACTAAATACTCGCTACTCGACTAAAATACTAGTGCAGTGCGAACAAGGCTTAGGTCATAAGTGATAGCAACCGCCTGCAATACGCGATTTGAATGAACCGACTGGTAAAAACTGAAATTAGTAAACTTAAGATGTACATATCTTCTTTAAGTTACATCTCTGTTTAGCTTAGATTTTTGGTAAATATTAGGTGTAATGGCATCTAACGGCAGTGGTTCTTTGAAACTACCTACTATTATAAAAACCCATATAAATGTTTTCAGGGATATAATATCTTGTAAAAACAATTACGTCAATGCGTGTATGGGTATGCAAGTGTTTTAGGTCAGACTAAGGAGTTCTTAAAACCTTTTTGCAGCAGCAAACTCTGGAGTAGCCAAACTAATAATTTAATTGGCGAAAATTAGTCCTAAACCGCTTGAAAACCGGTATACAAAACATAACAGACCATCACGCCTTTTTATCCCCGAAGGGGTAGGCAGAGGTGCACATAGAAGTAACACCCACTTTTCACTATTTATTTTATGAGTCCCATGTAATAGGGGGTGAGCTTATTGACATATACCGGAATTTTTTTTTAAAACCCAGTAATATTTTGCCCGACCCTGGAATCGAACCCGAGATCCCTTGCCCGGCAGTCGCACTTGCCACCCCTTGGCCAACGAGGCAATCATACGGTATATAAAACACGATAGCAAATACATTTTGTCTCCCGTGGACCCGGTTTCGGCACACGACGGGTTAATCCTTTTATAATTATAGACCTCTGAATCAATCCTTTTTAGGCTATTTAAACATACCCTTCAATAACTGATAATAATGATAAATTGTTCAATAGAAATTAAACAGACTTTCTACCGCACAATTTTAACAAAGCATTATCGTTGTCATGGCAACCAGTCAACAGCCCGGGGGTGGTCACAAACATAGCTATCCCAGTATTTGCGCAGGCGCACATGTGCAAGCACATCCGGTACCTAAACCAATACTTTTGAACTTCTAAACAAATAATGCATCTACCGGGATCTTTGCCAATTTTTTGCTTCAGTAATGTCAAATATGTCAACGGATTTAGAGAGTGCATTGTTTAAAATGGGTTTTTTAGTTTTTGTTGTTAATTTTTGATGGTCTCCTATTTTTAGATAGATTTTTTGGATGGATTATTCTTTCAAATAGTTTCTGACCATAACACAACATAACATTACGCATTTTCTCCGCGAAGGGGTAGGCTAAGGTGCACATTATGGCACTTAATGCCACTGCACAATGTAACACCCATTTTTCACTATTTATGTTACGAGTCCCATGTAGGGGCTAACCTCCTATGGGGAGCCTATTGCCATATACCGGGCTCAATTCCAGGCTCCGTGCTACTGTTGAGATTTTTTTAATAACCAATAACCCAGTAATATTTTGCTCGACCCTTGAATCGAACCCGAGACCCTTTGCCCGGGAATAGCACTTGCGACCATTCGGCCAACGAGGCAGTCTCTGACCTATTATGGTTTATAAAACTTTTGTTCTTATTTCTTTCTATATGTATAATAGAATAATTTATTTGCATTGAATGTAGGTACATAATATAAGGCCTTACAAAGGTACATATCGTTCCTGGTACATTCTACCAATATGGCATGCAATTTTTTTTTTATGTCGCAAAAGTTATGAACCTAATATACTTTGTAAGTTATCTATAAAACTATTATAATTATTAATGGATAACATAAACCTATTATTATTATATTTGAAAATTTTTATTACAAAATATAAGTAGCTAAAACAACTTGTTGTTTTGATTAACTTGTCAAATTAATGATAATACACGAATTAATAAACATGATGCTCATTGGAACTGTTTAATAAGTGTACGAAAGTGTGTAGGTGTACAAACCAATGGTCCCATTCTCTGTCCACTCGGAATAAACAAATGACTCTTGTACTCCTATGACGTCAGCAGATTAATCCCAGCTACTGATTCATTAGTTACTTCTTTGATTTGAAAATATCGAAGCGCGACAGTAATGACCAGTAATGATATACGGAGCCGAGACGTGGACACTAACAGTGCGACTGATCCACTAATTTAAGGTGGCGCAGCGAGCTATGGAGAGGGCTATACTCGGAGTATCTCTGAAGAATAGGACCCGTAACGAGGTGATCCGACAGAGAACTAAAGTTACCGATGTAGCCCAAAGGATTAGCAAGCTGACATAGCAGTGAGCCGGTCACATTTGTCGAAGAACCGGTGACCGCTGGGGTAGACGTGTTCTGGAGTGGAGACCGCGTCTAGGCAAACGTAGTGTAGGGCGCGTGACGATATACGTAAAGTGGCTGGTAGTGGTTGGATGCGTAGAGCTGAAGACCGAGCTCAGTGGCGTGCCATTGGAGAGGCTTATGTCCAGCAGTGGACGAAAACAGGCTGTTCATGAAGCACGACATTGATTGCGTACCATCAGGCGTCCCATCCTTGTTTTTGATCCCCTTATCCTATAACCTTCTTAAACACATTCCCCTTTCTGTCCCCAGGTGTTACAGCAAGCAGGTAACATCGAGCGACTAGGTCGGTTCCTCTGGTCGCTACCAGCGTGTGAACGACTCCATGCTCATGAGTCAGTTCTTAAAGCAAAGGCTATGGTGGCCTTCCATAGAGGGAACTTTAAGGAGCTATATAGACTGCTGGAGTCACACACCTTTAGTCCTCACAATCATCCCAAGTTGCAGAGCTTGTGGCTTAAAGGTGAGTTAAGTTGATGATAGTTAACTAGTCATTATAAAAGTTACGTCTGATACTCTTCAAAAGGGCTCGGAGGAGGACGGCTACTACTTATAAAATGACAACTTTTGAACAGTTAAAGAATAGAAATAAAACATAAAAAACATTAACGCTACAAAAAAAAACATAGCCTTTTATCTCCGAAGAGGTAGGCAGAGCCGCATAGGTGCACGGAGTATGCCACTGTAAAATGTAATACCCAATTTTCACTATTTATGTTATGAGTCCCATGTAATAGGGGGTGAGCCTATTGCCATATACCAGGCACTATTCCAATATCCGTGCTACTACTGAGAGTTTTTTAAAAACCCAGTAAAATTAGAGTATTTCAATAAAAGCTGCATTGAGTTTTCCCTAAAATTTGCATCATCCCTGCTGCGAAGCTGCCCTCGGTAGTGTTACAAGTGGAACAACAAGTCAATCTAACTATAAAATAGAATGAATGGTGATGGAATATTTATCTTCTTCTTCTCAACTAAATCATAGTCCTTAAGTTTCTTTAGCTCATAAATGGCATCAGTTAAAAATAAAATTATAAACAATAGCTTTTACCCGCGACTTCGCTCGCGTCACAAAAGGATAAAAAGTAGCCTATGTGACATATACCAATACATACAGCGCCATCTATACCAATACTTTTGTTTTCCCTCGGGAATATCAAATTTTTCTGGGATAAAAAGTACCCTATTATTTAATCCAGATTCTAACTTTACGTCTGCAAAAATTCAAAGCAATCGGTTTAGTAGTTACGGCGTGAAATCGAAACAAACAAACAAACTCACTTTCCGATTTATAATATTAGTAAGGATATCTCATTTGTGGACACTAAATCATCATGTTTTGTACTGTTGTTAATAAGTATTAATACTTTATTCACCCAGCACACTATATGGAGGCGGAGAGGCTACGGGGCAGGCCGCTTGGTGCCGTCGGCAAGTACCGCGTGCGACGCAAGTTTCCGCTGCCCAGGACTATCTGGGATGGAGAGGAAACCTCTTACTGTTTTAAAGTGAGTATTATACTACCCTTCGAGGATAAAAAGCCGTGATGTTATGTGGGCAGAGGCAGAGGTGCACATTTCGGCACTTAATGTAACACCCACTTTTCCCTAGTTATATTATGGGTGAGCCTATTGCTACATATCGGTTACAATTTCAGACTCCGTGCTAATATTGAGATTTTTAAAAACCCAGTAATATTTTGCCGGACCCGGGTATCGAACCCGATCCGGTCCGGCCGGGCAAGGGCCCGGCAGTCGCACTTGCGACTACTCGACCAACGAGGCAGTATTTATATTCTTCTATACATATCCTAGATGTTAAAGTATTCGATGAAAAAAACTGTTTTTTTTTTGCCGTCACAGCAAATTAGTATTTATATAGCAAAAAGCTGACGACGATGAAGCCATTGAACTAAAGCTAAGTAAAATGTGTTGTTTTGTCCAGGAAAAATCCCGGTCAGTGCTTCGTGACTGGTACCTACACAACCCTTACCCCTCGCCTAGAGAGAAGAGAGAGCTAGCAGAGACCACAGGCCTCACCACTGTACAAGTAAGTTTATTATGTATATGCACTTTTTTATAGCAGCCGGTAAACGAGCAGACGGATGGTAAGCAATCGGCGCCGCCCATGGACACCTGGAACACCAAGGCATTACAAGTGCATTATCGGCCTTTTGGGAATTGGGAATTTGAGGATTGTGGAGGACTCATGGATTCGAGAGACTAGGGAGTTGGGTAATTGGGCTTTCGGTAACCTCACTCACACGACGAAATACAACGCAAGCGTTGTTTCACGTCGGTTTTCTGTGAGGCCAATTACCCTCCCCTTTCCCAATCTTTCCAATCCCTGAATCCCCAACGATCCTCAAACTCCTAAGCCCCAAAAAGCCGGTAACGTACTTGTAACGCCGTTGGTGTTCCAGGTGTCCATGGCCGACGCCGAATGCTTACCATCAGGTGATCCGCTGCCGATGCCGCCATAAAAAAAGGAGCTCGAAAGGCGGGTCCATTACCTGGACCAGCCACATCCCTCAAAATAAATAATACCTAATACCTTACCTATGCAATTTATACTTTCAGTAATAATTTTAATTATAGATGTGGTTTATTGTAATGTGTAATTAGGTACCTTCTATACTTTATAAAAATTGACTAGACGTATTGTAATAAAAAATTGTATGACAAGGACACGGATCAAGAGTCCGTGGATAATTAATCTTTAACATTATAAAAAAAAGCTGAGTTTATAAATGATGAATAGGAGCTAGCACCTTGTTTGAATTGAGAACAGAGAGTAGGTGTCACATTCTAAGTGTGTTTCAAATTTTAAATTCTCATTAAGCGGGGTTACGCTATTCTGTAAATATCAATTCGAAATTTTGAACTGAGCTCTATCGCATTCTCCGCCCGTCATTGGTCAAGATTATTTTCACAGCCAATGATATGGCGGACGGCGATCGAGTTTTCTTCGATCTTCCGAATTGAAAGTTACAAAATAGTTTAGTAGTTTGCAAGACTTAAAGTCAAAGCAATTCAATTAAACCATAATTTGGTACTTTTGAAACGTCAACAAATACAAAATAAATAATAGTCAGTCCGTTAGTGAAGCTAGATGAAGCTAGGTGCTCATTCCAAAATGTAGATTCGAATGGAGAAGAACGAGCAAGAAACTCCATAATGGAGAGAATAACAAAAATAGCCCATTCTTTATATTACTGCTTATCTCATAAGCTAGCTAAGCTCGAGCAATAAGCATGAAGAACTAAATAAAAAACGCCGTACTCTTTATCAGGTAGTGCATGCCTCGTTCAGACGGTCAGTTGTGGTTGATGGTAACCTGACACTGTTTCCTCAAACTATATGTATTGAATTACTCCATGCAACTATGTATTACTCTATATGTATAAATATACTATGTATTAATCATCGTAGGTTGTAAATTGCTTGATTGCTCAGTGGACATAAATACTACTGCTAAGTCTTCAGTTCTCTGAATTGTAAAATGATGTAGGTGGGATTTTGTTCACTAGAATTTTGGTGATTATTATGTTTTCGTCTTACTCACGTAATTATTTGACGAGGAACTCGACTAGTTTCACTGTCGCGCTGCTCAAGTTGCGCGCGTCGCGAAATGCTGCTCATGAATATGAACCTCTAGCATGGCTTGAAACTAGTCGAGTTCCTCGTCAAATAAAAACGTGAGTAAGCCGAAAACATAAAAATTGATTTAGTATGTCTCACGAAAGTTATGTTACAAATTTTGGTGATGTTTAATTTCGTCTGCTGTGTCAGTAAATGTATGAATCTATGGGGACTTTATGACTTGGTAAATTGTCAGTAGGAAGTTGTAGGCAGTTTGGAATTTTCATTACTTACATACTACAATAGCCTCAGCTATATAAAATAGTTAAATAATACTGAGGGTTACCATCATCATATCATTCGCCAGGCGTCCATTACTTAACATAGGTCTTCCTACCTATAAGTCACATCACACATCAACAACCTATAAATGCCCACTGCTGAGCAAAACCTCTTCTCACACGGACAAGGTTTTAGCTTTAATCACCACGCTTGCTCAATATAGGTTAGCGATTACAAACTTACAATTAGAAGTTATAAGCCCAGGTTTCCTTCACCGTTTGTCAGTGGTGTCTAAATAATCTTAGAAAGTACATATAACTCGGAAAAAGTCATATTGGTACTTGCCGTTAATAGGTTTCGAGCCCGCACCCTGATGAATGAGAAGCGGGCTTAAACCTCCGGGCCACAACGATACTAAGCACCTAATGTATACAACTTTTATCTTTATACTAGCTGTTGCCCGCGACTTCGTCCGCGTAGATTAATGACTTCTGACAGAATTAACCAGAATCAATTCAGTGCCCAAGTAAGATTTACCTATTTTGAAATGATTTATCCTAGTTTCAATAAATAAATAATCCCGCAGGGATCTTACCAGTACAGTGCCCGATCACGTAAGGTTTGAGTAATAAAAACTATTCTATCGACTATTGTTGTACCGAATCTCTCTAGAATAAGTTCAGTGGTTAAGAGTTAGAGAGTCCTGGGACATTGACGCATAGTTCTCGTTCTCGTGAGACATCTGTGAAAAAACTATCATACGTTACCCAGGTCCTAAATCATCGTTTTACTGAATGTAATTCAAAAAGATTCAATGATTCTAAATTCAACGGCTAAGAAGATTTATACAAACTCTCATTCCCTATTTTACCCACTTGGGGGTGGAAATTATCAAAATCCTTTCACAGCGGATGCCTACGTCATAACATCTATCTGCATGCCAAATTTCAACCCGATCGATTTAAAACTGACAATGTCTCATACAAACTTTCATCCCCTATTTTACCCACTTGGGGGTGGAAATTATCAAAATCCTTTCACAGCGGATGCCTACGTCATAACATCTATCTGCATGACAAATTTCAATCCGATCGATTTAAAACTGACAATGTCTCATACAAACTTTCATCCCCTATTTTACCCCCTTGGGGGTGGAAATTATCAAAATCCTTTCAAAGCGGATGCTTACGTCATAACATCTATCTGCATGCCAAATTTCAACCCGATCGGTTAAAAACTGAAAAAGTCTCATAAAAACTTTCATCCCCTATTTTACCCCCATTGGGGGTGGAAATTATCAAAATCCTTTCACATCGGATGCTTACGTCGTAACATCTATCTGCATGCCAAATTACAACACGATCGGTTTAAAACTGACAAAGTCTCATACAAACTTTCATCCCCTATTTTAGCCCCTTGGGGGTGGAAATTATCAAAATCCTTTCACAGCGGATGCTTATGTCATAACATCTATCTGCATGGCAAATTTCAACCCGATCAGTTAAAAACTGACAAAGTTTCATACAAACTTTCATCCCCTTTTTTACCCCCTTGGGGGTGGAAATTATCAAAATCCTTTCTTAGCGGATGCCTACGTCATAACATCTATCTGTATGCCAAATTTTAGCCCAATCTGTCCAGCGGTTTGGGCTGTGCGTTGATAGATCACTATGTCAGTCAGTCAGTCAGTCAATCACCTTTGAATTTTATATATATAGATATCTCCACAGAATATGCCAATAATAAGGTACTAAATACATACCTCTGGTTTCAGGTATCGAATTGGTTCAAGAATAGACGACAACGAGACAGGCAAGCAGAACACAAAGACAGGTGAGTCATTGGTTTTATAAATCAGCTCCACAGTTAGTGTAGTAGCTGGGTCTACAGGTTCTTATTCAATTCAATCTGCAATCATCGACAGCTGGTGACAGGATCCTACTGAACTATAGGCCTCCTCTATATAAAAGGGTTTGTTATTATATCCAGGTGTGGCAAGTGAAGATCTCAGTCTGAAGGTCTAAGGTGCGGTAGGAACTGCCAGGTCTTTTGATATTTCCGGGAAGAATTAGTGTTTTTTTCTTAATCTGGGAATATCATCGAATGACTTCTCCCGCCTGGGTGAGGCGGGAGTGTTAGACTCTTACTGAGTAAAAATCACCCCGTTCCTACTCCTGCACTTCGAGCCGGAGCCATGGCAAACCCTTAAGTCCTCCGCGGCAGAACAATTGGGTACTTGCCAATTAGTCAAATTCATTACCTTTATCGAACTGTCAAAAACGATAGTTTTCTATGAATTTTGTACGAGATTGTGTATTGTGACGTCACGTTTTTTTAACGTCAAACAGCATACACTTATTTCTTAAAAATTTGCTTGAAAAATACTAAAATGAAGTTGGTCATAAAATCAATTACTGGAAGTATGATTATTATTTTTTTCATATTTGATTGTAGTTAACAGTCGAAATAATTTATTTTTTACTAGCTTCTGCCCGCGACTTCGTACGCACCATCCCGATATTTCCCGTTCCCGTTCTTGATTTTCGGTAAAAAGTAAAAAAAAAGAATTGGGTAAAACGTATCTTATGTCCGTCTCCTGGTTCTAAGCTACCTCCCCACCAATTTTCATCCAAATCGATTCAGCCATTCTTGAGTTATAAATAGTGTAACTAACACGACTTTCTTTTATATATATAGATTAATGCAAGTACCCAATTAGTATTGTGTGGTATTTTTCTATGTTATAAACCACGTATGTTATCGGTACCATTATAATTTCAGCTGACTTAAATTATTTTAATTGTTTTTATAACATTTAGCTGACAATGTAATATTTGTTACTTATAACATAACAATATCGAGTTACAACATTCACTGCTAATGAGGTTTCAGTGTTTGTAGGTTGAACGCGTGTATAATCAGGAAGGACTGTAGGTTCGATTTCTGGGTCGAGTCAAATGTGTTGATCTGTTTGTTATTTGGGTTTTTTGTGGAGTTGGTAATTGATTTGGTTTGCAGTTTAAATTATGGTTTAAGTAACATGAAAACGTGTGACGTTTAAAAAAAAATCTCAGTAGTAGCACGGAGTCTGTAATTGTGCCTGGTATATGGCAATAGGCTCACCCCCTATTACATGGGACTCATAACATAAATAGTGAAAAGTGGGTCTTACATTGTATAGTGGCATAATGTGCACCTCTGCCTACGCCTTCGGGGATAAAAGGCGCGATGTTATGTTATGTGGAAATACACCTTAATCATATCAGTATGATGAAAACTTCACCAAAATACCATTCAACGCCCGAACAAATACACAGACAGATTTAATCTAATGTTATCTATAAAAATCACAATATAACAAAATAGAATATACTGTATGAAATGGCTATCGACGTGTAAGATCTGTTATCTTAATCTCGGCAGCTGCGCCGGCGCATCCATGCAGAAATCCCGGGTTTGACCGCCCAAATACCAAATGGTTAAGCGTGAGCCGGGTTTTAAGAACGAGAATTGAACATTATAGTTTTTAACTGTTACGTTCTCTTCATCACCATCATGGCATCGGTCATTAGCCCTTATTGATTTAAAGTTGAGCAAGCGTGGTTATTAATGCTCAAACCTTCGTTGTGTGATAAGAAGCCTTTGCTCAGCTGTGGGCACTTTAATGTACTTTGACCTACCTACACCAAATGCTCGTAGGCTTCAAACCCACATGCATGAGAAGCGGGCGTGTTAAACTTCTGAGCCACCAAGACTCTATCGTCACATAATATAACATAACATCACGCCTTTTATCCCCGAAGGGGTAGGCAGAGGTGCACATTATACCACTGTACAATGTAACACCCACTTTTCACTATTTATGTTATGAGTCCCAATTTAATAGGGGGTGAGCCTATTGCCATATACTGGGCACAATTCCAGACTCCGTGCTACTACTGACAATATTTAAAAACCCAGTAATACTTTGCCCGACCCGGGAATCGAACCCGAGATCCCTTGCCCGGCAGTCGCACATACGACCACTCGGCCAACGAGGCAGTCACTATCGTCACTATCTTACTAATATTATTAAATTTTGTTAGTTTGTGTCTATGTTTGTGAGTCAATCATGTCAAAACGACTGAAGGGATTAAGATGAAATTTGGAACAGAGATAGATTGTGGTTAGGAATAAGACATAAACCACATTTTTATCCCACTGAAACGAGAGTGTAAGCTAGTCATCTACACGATCTCCGGCCACCGTAAGCACGGGCCTGCGGACGGCAAACACGGGTGACTCGCCGCCCGACCATTGTCGCGTTCCGCGTGCACCTCAAGGAGCCATCAGACCACCACGGATGGGGCCCAATAGGGCTGATGCCGATACGGAGCCGCGGAAGACTTAACGGATTGCCGGGGCTCCGGCTCGAAGTGCAGGAGTAGGAACGGGGTGGTATTTAGTCGGTAAGAGTCTGACACTCCCTCTCGCCTTACCCGGGCGGGAGGCATTGGATGATTTTCCCCCTTCGCTAAAAACGAACACAACCGATGAAATAGCTAGTAAGTACTTAAATAATAAATTCATAGCTTTTTATTAATTTTACCGTTAGTGTCATTATGGAGTTTCATGTTACAATATGTGTCATGTTTTCAACAAAATGGGTCATTGACATGTCGGTGATATGACACTCTGACAACTTTTTTTTATTGTTTTTTTTTATCTACAAATAGTACGGTAACAGGTATTGTGGTCCACAGTCAAAACTAAAATGTTAAAGTTAATTTTGTTCGTCGAAGAATAAAGATGAATTTAGTCTGTAGCTTTTTTAAAAATTGTAAGATGAGACGTCATTGGGGGAGGTCTATGTTCAGCAGTTGATGTTCTATGGCTGATATGATGATGATGAAGAAGAGAAGATTTTATTGCTAAACACGCCATTTTGAAACTAGACGACATTTTGAGAATCTTACTGAGATTTGAGGTTAGGTACTGAAAAATTCAACATCATTTTGCTGACTAGAAATCATAGTCATATCTCGATAGATATATGTCGAGATATCTCAACAGATATATGTATGTCTATAAATCATAGTAGGTACTTGTATTATATTATCCGAAAGTTAGGAAAAGGGTCTCTCTGTTTTTCGTATCTTGCAATTGTTTATATTAAGTTTTGTTCGTATAAAACGTTAACAATAGTCCGTTTACTAATTCCTGCGTTTTAAAAACATACGATATCCGAAAAGCCATCACTCAAAAACATCGCAGAACTTGTCCTCGCTACGATATTTTTCCAAATTATTCTTCCACAAAGCCAACAACAGTACACAAATACACAGACATAGGTATAATAACACACAAAGAGGGGAGTACACGTTTGCCTATCCATTTGGCTGGCTTCAAACGAAACCTGATACCCAACATAGTACATCCCTGGAAATTATGCCCTTTACAACGCAAAACCAACCTTATTCCTTCTGTAACAACGTAGTAAATCAAATAAACGAACGAAAATAGTACATCCAACGGTTACTTTATAATAATTTCCAATTTAGAATATTATCGTTGGAATATTTGAATTTTTGCGTTCGAAATATTTTATTGAATAATGTTTATGGTTCAATATGGCTGCTGTGTTATGTCAATTTGCGCAATGTATGATTGACGGCAAAAATAATGATAAGTTTGTATCAGATTATTAATAATGGGATGTCATTTACTTATGATGAGAATCGAGGTATGGATTTCGAATGAGCTGTAGTCTCCCATTTTATTGTTTTATCGATTAGTTTAAAATATTAATGATTTTAATAAATATCTAATTAGGATACTATAGTCCTACTGTGTGGTCCACTCAACTTTATTGGTTATGATATGACATTATGAATTTTGTTTTAACATGCACAAGGGGATACTGGGTAAGCCAGCGTGAGGTCTCAGGATTTTCAGGATTCAAACTCCAGATGACTCTGACTAATCATGCCTTCTTTTCATTTAATCAGATTGCAATGTATAGTTTCATTTTAGTTTTTTAACAATAGATTGCAATGTATAGTTTCAATTTAGTTTTTGTTAATTAACAATAACATCAATCTGAACAGACTTCACGTATTTTAATGCTTGTGTGAGTAGGGACGCAGTGCACATATCTGATATTACACTAACGTGCTGTCATCAGTTACGTTATGAACAGTCCCATGTAGAGATTCATGGCATCGATCTGAAAATCGTCACATATTTACAATAGGGTAGATGCTTAATTTTTATTTTAATGTCCGTCTGGTAGCTTATTTTAGATCATTAGACGCACGTATTTTTTATTTTCTTACAGAAACGAATTCTTTCGACGATAATATATTGATTTGAAATGTCACGTGACGTCACTTCTATGTACTTACATACATTTTATACGTAGAAATGACATTTTAGCCCCCACTCTTAAACTTTGATTCGTTTTATCTAAGTATTGTTTTATTATACGACAAAACAAAAAAATATGTGTTTAATATTTTTTCAATACGTAACCTAGGACTAATTAGATTTTGAATTTTCATACCCTGTCATCATCCCAATTTACGTTCTTAAATAACAAGAAATAAAGACAAGTGACAGTCTGAAATCCCATTTCGTCATCCATATCAATTAAGTGACAACAGACGAGACACAGATCTTAATTCATAAAACTTCACACTGTTAAAACTTGTCCAACTGTGGGATGCAGTATCTATATTGGATACCATCCTATGACGTATCGTGTATTAGAGAGAGAACAGGCTATAGGTACAAAAGGGACAGCTATATGTAACTCGACACCTTCACATCTGCGGTCTAAAAGCGTACAGGGACGT